AAACCGTTGTTGTTTGCCCACGTTTCAAGTTTTTGCAGCTGCGTTTGCAGCTGCCTTTCCATAGATCTCAAATGAGGATTTTTCGATGCCAAACTTTTTGATACACATTCCTTGGGTGAAGTGGACCATGCCGTAAGTTAGAGTATGTTATAACTATAACGGTTTGAAGATTGAAGCCAAGCTCATTATTCTATTCTCTTTCTACCTCAAGTTATTGCAAGCATCAAGTGGAAGAAAGTCCATGTGTCAAAATAAAACAAGGAAATGCCATTTATTGATAGATTCAGTCAGACATGTACAGGCGGCACAGGTTTTTAACTGCAGATTATGAGATCAATACACAGAAAAGGACCTTACATTTTTTATTCTAGATACATGACGTACATACCACATTTCATGTAGATTCTACTGCTGTGATGGAAAAAGGATGTGAAGAGTTTTGTTTTTTTATAACAATGTGAAAAAAAACAATGCTTTACTAGAGTTTGGTTATTTTGGCTATTATGTGTGGCCTAAATAAGGTTTGGTGGGAGTTCGCGTTATTTAAGTTGTATTACAGGCCTTTTGATACATGTGGCCTCTTTTTTATAATTTTTTTTTTTTAACTTCCCCCATCTAACTTTTATACATCTATTTTAAGAGAACAGTACCTCAGAAAGACAAACTTTTAGGAAAGGCCAAGGAGCTTAGAACTAAACTGTAAACTCCTTGGGAAAGGCTCATATATTTATAAATCTAATAGTCTTATCAGATTGTTACTGGTTACATTTCTAGCGTGAAAGTTTGACTCTCACTGCAATGATCTGACCAAATTAACTTCTCATGTATGAAAATGGGACTAGCCATAATGAGTACAATAATTACTATTGAGAGAAAACGACAGGAATCAGTAATTCCAATAACAAAAACACCTCTCTCTCTCTCTCTCTCTCTCTCTCTCTCTCTCTCTCTCTCTCTCTCTCTCTTTCTCTCTCTCCCTCTCTCTTTCTCTCTCTCCCTCTCTCTTTCTTGCTCTCCCCCCTTCCTCTCCCTCTTTCTCTCTCTGCCCGCAGACAAAATTTCTCACTTTCAACACGCTGGAACGTTTGTTTACACTCGTATCACGGGCCGTCACACGCTAAGACAAGGACAAGTGTAGAATTCTGTGGACGCTGAAGATCTAGCGCCCAAGTCTCGTTCGGACACGAGATAGGCCAATCGAAACATCTTGGTAGTAGTTAGGCCATCTTTAATAACATCACGACGCTGCATTGTAAGTAACCTTGTCACCGGCATTCTGATGAATGATAATAATTGAATAATAAAGGGTGATAGATCTTGGGGATCTAGTCAACTCGCAAGGGAAACCTCGGAAGACGACAAAAATAGCCTAGCTGGCGCAAAAACATCATACATGATCTATTTTTGGGCCAATCACAGAGGTGTGCTAAGTGCTGTGAATAGCTTCATGCCGCTCAGAAGGCCACGAGGCCGTGTTTGCGCTACCTAACTAATACGGGGTGCCAACTACGGATGGGGTCGCCCATAGACGGTCAGAGAACAGTTAGTATAAGAATACAACTACAACCCTGGGGGTTCAAAGGCTGGCGGCTCAGCCGGTAGGGTCAATATGATCGCTTGTCCGATCGGCAAGCAGTGGTCAAAATTTCACTCCACTCAATTGCTATCCTGTCTGATAATGACATACGTCAGTCTTATTTATCCAATTACCACTAGTGCTTGCCTTTCATAGGACCACAGCTTGACCAATTGAAAACAGAAACGTTTAAACATCTCCTTTGCTTCCACCATTAGCCCCACCCACCAAAGCCACCCCTTACTGCAACTGTAACGAACGATTCGAGGAACTCTTTTCTCGGCCGGCCACGTATGATCAGGGCGGCAGGCATCAATTGGTCAATCTAATGTCACACCTCTGGCTTCTGGCTACCCAGAAAAGTGTACGTACAGTGGCTCGCTACTCGAGCACTCACACGGGCAGTCGTAAGATTTCACACCCACACCACACTGACCATCTGCATCGCTAAGAGATCACATGATGGGGTAACATGGAAGCTCCTTAGGTAACATCAAGGACCTTGGGTAACATCTACCCCCAAATTGCACCCCAACTCCCTTTCCTCGCCCAGCGGCATAGCCATAGCGTTGAGTTTAGTAGAGCCGGCGGAACCAAACTTGAGAGTTTTATTTCAAATCAGTGCTGAGCAGGTAAAGCATTTTCCTTCTTAGACAGGTGAAACCCTCGGAAGGGAGCGGATTTTTCTTTCCGTTTCCGCGTTGTACAGGTTTCCGTTTTATACAGGTACCCGGTAATTAAGGGACCGTCAAGGAGCTTAGAACTAATCTACTTTTAATCTCCTTGGGGGCCGTTCAAATATAATCTTACGCCTGGGAGGGGGGGGGGGGTCTTTGGCTCCTGTAAGAAAGGGGGGGGGGTCTTGAACTAATGTAATATTACACTTTTATGAGGTGAAAAATATTTTTGACATAATGATGAACTCTGCATTTGTTGATGATAACTAATTTCACTTTTTTTTCAGCATAAATGATCAGTTATAACAGAGGTACAGTGGAATCCTAATAAAGTCAACTTGCTTAAAGTCAACTATTGCTTACCAGTCAACATCTCTCTGTAGTCCCGTTTCTTACCTTCTTTTAAAGTAATTGTGTTTTTGATACAGTCAACCGCTTGAGTGTTAACCTTTCGTAAAGTCAACAATTTGGGGCTAAATCCTAAGATGAATTCATTCAAGAAGAGATATTTCGCCTGAGCAAGTGGTGTACACACCTCCAATTACATATGTACTTTGTTCTTTCATTATCTCTTGTTTTGGTGACAACTTCAGAATTATACTCCCTGAAATTGAGATTACATCTTGTTTATTACCAGGCACTTAGTAATTTTGTAGCTGTCATCTTCAATTTTTAATGGCCAGTAGTACAATGGATAAAGACAACCTTGCTCAAAGTCAACATTTTTTTTCTGTCCAGGGTGTTGACTTTATCAGAATTCCACTGTAACTTTAAAAAAAAAATTAAAGCGCTTTTGTCATAGACAGGAGTCTCAATTTTTTTCCCTTTTTATTAGTAAGAAAGAGTGTGTATGCAATATTTTCCTTGAATGATTTACTCTAATTGTGAGGCAGCGTGGTGAAATCAGGTGCTCGTCAAAATAATGAAAGTGAAAAAAACTGGCATTTTTTCCGCAGGTATGGGAACTTTTATTGAATTTTTTTTTCGCGCTTTACACCTTTTACTTTTACGTCCATGCTGAAAAACGTTCATTACAAGCACAACATTTGTGATTGTTCAGTTTTAAAGGCTCTCAAGCTATTGAAGTTAAAAACTTTGGCGGCCGTTTTCTCACTAAATTTACCTCTGAAATCAGGTGACCCCACCTCCTTCAATCACAAATATTTCAACTTCTATTCAGCATAGATGAATATTGTTTTCATCAAAAGGAAGGCAAATTGACAGGCTTTAAGATGATATCGATAACTCCGTATGCCTCAAAACTGACGAGCGCTTGATCCCACCATGTCGTGACACCTATTATTTTTTAGATTACATGTATGGTATGTGCATGTATGTGTGTATGCATGTTTTTCATGCATATTATGCAATGCACATAAAGCAATGATTGTTTTACGGATTTGCGCGACAAAAATGTCATATAATTTTTATCATTATA